TAAAAGCCAATATGTTGCATCAAGTAACTTTCCTCTCTTACTGAAGAGACAAAAACAAGGTGATGAATTCTTCTATAAGAAATTAAATATAATGTGAATTACAGAAGATTAGTGAGCTTTTGGATCTAAGCATTAAGAAGGTTGCTGCTACACATTCTAATGGGTTACTAACATCTTAGCAATTTGTTTAGGCTGGATGTTGCTCCATGTGCTTTCTTATCTTAATTGATTTGCCCTTTCAGTTGTCATGTTTCTCATGTTTTCTGATCAGTCTCTGTAATTATGGTACACGTCATCACACTAGTTAACCTGTATCCATAAGCAATCCAGTTCATTTATCTTAAATTAGTTTATGGTTTGTAATAATTCGATTGATTCATGATGGTGGCTCCATATATTGATAATGATGATCTATGATGTAGTTCGATAGTAACTTTAATTCGTAGATTTGTTAAGTGTTTTATGAAATTTAATTCTTAAAATAATATCTCTTGAAGCTAAGGTGTTTTCATTGTTTTTTTGCCAACTTTTTTCTATACTTGATGTCATTTTAAATCTTTCAAATCTTTAAATCTATATTACAATATGGTTTGGACTGGGGTTTTGGACCTGGCTTTGGACAAGGGTTTGCACCAGCGTAGCTTTGAGTGAATAATTCATGGATCTTTTGGAGGACTTGGAGTGACATAAAATGTCTAGTTACGTATAAATCGTCCTGTCGCACTTTCTTGCCAACTGATCTTTGGTAGGATGTTTAGAACTTTGCTGTTCGGATTCCCATGGTCTGTTTGGTTCAAATTAGATTTCATTTATCAATACGTGAAAACTGAAGTTTGGTACCTTATCTACTCAAGGGTTAGCTTTAATAATGTTCAGCATTACCTTATATATGCCTTCCAGGATCATTTAAACCGAAGAAATGTGAAAATTTTCCACATTCCTATTATACTTATCATTTTTTTTTTTATTATTCTTATGAATTGGTGGCTTTTAATGAGTTTTATTTTATTGATGGCAATTTATATTGTGTTTCACTAGGCTAATTATGTGTTGCAATGTTGTTATAGTTCTGTTATATTTTGCTTTCTATGTAATTTATTTGTCAGTTCATCTTTTTGTCTACAGAGCCCTGGTTAGAAGTATGGGTGAGATATTATTTTTATGTGGAAGTAATAAACAGGCTGTTATTGCTTCATTGAGTGCTATTAGTGAGGATGGTAAGGGATCTGACAACAATACAAAGGATGAGGTTGGTTAAATTTGTGTAGTGATCAATGTACTTACTAAAAAAGTTAAAATGAACTTATGCAGCACTTTCTTGAACATTTGCGTTATGGAGTTTCTTTTCCCCCTCCACATCGTTCTTAGTTCATCATCGTTCAATCTCGCAGATAATTGCAAGAGCTCTTGATGGCCTTTCAATGGAATCGGCATCCGATTTACAGAAAGTTCTAAGAGTTGATGCATACACTTCTCAAGCTAGTGCTCTCCTGAGGCTTGAAGCTATGATTCCTATTTTCCAAAGCCGTATGGGGGCATTGCTATTTCTTATTTCTGCCTTACTTTCTCGAGGACTGGTATGCCTGTTGCTTCTCTTTTCAATAATCTGTACTAACATTTTAATCTTAAAGGGCTGGAGATTATTGTGCACACTCATCAGAACATTTCTTGAACCTAATGGAAACTAATCATTTGCCTCAATGATATTAAACTTGATGGGTTCAAAGGTCGAAGCACAGAGCAAAAGATTGCTGATAGTGGAGACAAGGCATAAGCCTCAAGATGAGCAATGAACGTCATGATTATGGAGATTATATTATTATTGTAGCCTTATGGTTCGGAGGCTGATTTTATAAGAACTAAAAATGCTTCTGATAGTAGGATGACATACTTAGTTGGAGGATAGAATATAATGCCTCTATGAGATTTAAAAATCACTATGAAGTGCCTGCAGCTTTAGGCTCAAGTAAACCGGGATACAGTAACTGTGTCATCCTACTTTCAGAAATTTGTCCCACCAATAGTTTTTCATCTTTTTAACTTCCTAAAGTTATAAATTTCATAACTTATTTTAGTAAAATGGCAATCTGAGGCTAGAGATTTTTTATTGGAAGCCGAGTATTTGCAGTACTGGAGCTTTGCTGCCGGAAATAATGATATGGAATCACAACAGGGCAGGAGTTGCCAGGTGGCAAGTAAGCAAAAACAGAACAGGCTAGTAATGAAAATGGCAAAGTTTCCTGCCTGCAGACATGTAGTAGCTTATTTCATGCCTGGGCGGGAACTGACACCGATAACAAGTAGTAGTTGTTTTACATGCCTGCGTACATGTACAGTAGCTGCATTTAAATGTCTTCTTAGGAATTAGACAGACTACGTTCATGTGCATGTTTATGGAGTTTCAAAGTTTCTTGGTTAGCATTAATAGAAATTAAAGAAAACGTTATTAAAAAATTTTTGCAAAATAAAATTTTTCAAAGTTTTGCAGTACTTTGAGATGCTTAATTTTTGTAGTGAAAAGGAATATTTTGTTTACTCTTCAATAGCAAAATCCTAATTATCTAGAAATCTTGTTCATCTTTAGGATTCTGTACAAGCTGACAGGGATGATCCTAGCTTACCTCTTGTAACTGCACCATTTGGCCATGCTTCACAGGTATGAAGACTGACTATAAAGTCTAATCTTTTCCCGTCTGACCTGCTTTTATTTTTGTATTCAATTATTTCTATGTTAAATTTAAACTTGCATTCTACTATTTCTCGTTTTGGAATAGGAAATTGTGAACCTGTTGTTGTGCGGGCAAGCTGTACCCAATGTGTTTGATGGAAGGATGGATTTGGGAGGTGGAATGTTTTTGAAGGGAATTTCCAAAAACGTGGAAGTTGGATTTCTTACTTTACTAGAGTCTTTGAATTTTTGTAAAGTCGGTCAGCATTTAAAATGCCCAAAATGGCCAATATGGGTTGTTGGGAGTGAATCACATTACACAGTTCTATTTGCTCTTGATATCTCTGTGCAAGATGAAAATGAGCTGGAAGAAAGGGAATCACAGATACGAAAAGCTTTTGATGGACAGGATCAGAGTGGAGGAGGTGGTTTTATTGGTGTCGAAGGTTTCCATCAAGTGCTCAGAGACACAGGTATCCGGCTCCCACCGGAGAAGCTTGATAACCTTAGCAGCACGGGCTTTATTGTATGGAGTGAGTTCTGGCAGGTTATTTTAGATTTAGACAAGAGTTTAGGAGGCCTTAAGGATTCAACTGGATTGATGGGAAAAAAGGTGTTTGATCTTTATCATTTTAATGGGATTGCTAAGTCAGATTTGAATGGTAGCCAAGCAATTTTTGGCGGTGAGACTCCAATTCAAAGACCAAGGCTCACAAAATTGAGGGTTTCAGTCCCTCCAAGATGGACTCCTGAGGAGTTCATGGCAGATATGGCAGTGTCCTCTGGTTCTGGTGGGAATGAGTCAGGTGGAAAAGACACCGAAGTGACGAAACCTGAACCTTCTCAGCATGCACCTTTGGTTGATTGCATCAGAACAAGGTGGCCCCGTGCAGTTTGCAACTGGGTTGGGGATCCTCCCAGTATAGTCTGAACATATGGTGATGCCCTCTGGCTATCTTAAAATTTTATAGTGTTTGAACACGGAGGGTGCAAGATTAGCAAGGGAAATTGGCAGAAGGCAGCGCTGCTCCTTGAGCTCAGGAGAAGTTAAAATTATTTTCTTCCTTCAGTGGTGGTTTTATATATAATCTAATTTGATTTTGAGATGTGAAGAATATTGAGGGGGAAAAAAGAGATTGTTATATCTGATGTGTAAAATTCATTTGGAACCTTCTTCCTTGATCAGTGAAGTTTTTCAAGTGGGAGATGTCAATAATAGATCTGTTGAACTTTTCTGTAGCATGAACTTTCAGGACCTAACCAAGCACTGCCTGCCTTGATTATCCAGTGCGTTGGAAAGCAAACCATTTTAGTTTTAGGGTCTTTAAATGCGGTTCATGTTGAAGGTCTCAAGGGATTTATTACAGTCATGGAAAATTCAAAGCATCTTGCTAGACGATGTTTACCTTTTTTATTTCAAAAGTTGAGCATAAATTTTGTTACGTTCATCATTCTTCTTTTTTCTTTCTCTCAGGTCTTACCACTTCCATCAAAAAAATATTTAAAAAATAAAACATTGAGGACGCATATAGAATAAATTTAAAATTTTAAGTATGCATTTATTTTATTTACATGGAATTTCACACTCATTTTATTTTTTATTATTTTAATATGATTTATATTTTCCTTAATTCCAAGCATCACTCATTTTTTTAATAAAAGTTTTGATAAAGAATTAAAGTATTAAATAATATTTGTGCCAGAGATTATACTGTATAAAATATGTAAGAGTTGGAATTAGATTTTCTTCCTTGACCCTAAAGGAAGTGATTACTTTTTTAATTGTTAGCAATATGTTACTATTTTCATTCTATGAATTTTATTCTGTAACTTTTTCATATATATATATATATATAAAGACATTAAAGCAGTGCATATTTATTTTGCAAAATTATTTTTTGCTTTTTATTTGGATCAATTCTTAATTTTTATAAGAAAAATGGAAGTGATCTGTCATTAAAAATTTTAATTATAATAAATAGCATAAAAAAGAAATTAAGTGGATAATTAAATCTGAATCAAATGAAAATTTAAAGCCATAATTTCCCAAACTACAAAATGAAAAATTAGACAAACGCAGTTTCTCGCATCAGTTCTGCTATAATTCACTGGCCAGAGGAAGTCTCCTGCTTACGATTAGAAAGCCAGGGAAGTCATAGAGCCAACAGTAAGAATCTCAGATACACCATTATCTGGGTTTTGGCTTCTCCATCAATCTCCTCCTTTCCATTTGCTTTCTTTAACAAATTTTCGGCGAGAAAACTTGCAGAAAATCATCAGTCCCAGTCCCAATTTTTTACAAAAAAGTCTGAAGAATTTCCCTTTCTAATCCTTAAATGGTTTTAACTAATCGTTTCTAATCACTTTAATGCTTGTTGGGTCAGCTATATGTATGTAATTCCCATTGTAAACTTGGTTTTCTCTATGCTGGTTGTACGTCCTCCAAGTTGATGAAAAAAGTTCAACAAGAGGAACGGTTTCTTCTGTAAGTAACTTCCGCTGCTTGCTAATCAGCGTATGATGATATTTAAGGCGTTTCTCCAGTTGGGTAATTTTGATGACAGACTAATTTTTTCTTCAAGGTCTTTTGATCTGGTTCGAAGATTCTCACTTTGGTCAATGAAGAAAGACCCAGATCTTGAAACTTCTCTTTCGCGCAACCGGAGATGGATAGTGAATAACCAGCTCAAGAACATTATACTGAGATGCCCAAATCAGGTGGCGCCAGTTAAATATCTCCAGAAGAAGTTTAAGACTCTTGATCTTCAGGGAAAGGCTCTCAATTGGCTTAAAAAATACCCTTGTTGCTTTGAAGTTTATCTCGAGAACGATGAGCATTATTGTAGATTAACAAAACGGATGATGAATTTGATTGAAGAGGAAGAGGCTGTGAAAGATTCTCAGGAGCCAGTTCTTGCGGAGAGATTGGCTAAGTTGTTGATGATGAGTGTGAATAGGAGGCTTAATGTTGTGAAACTCAATGAGCTGAAACGTAGTTTTGGGTTTCCTGATGATTATGTGATCAGAATTATACCCAAGTACCCAGATAGATTTCGAGTTGTGAATTATAGTGGGAGGAAAAGTTCAATGGAGATTGAGCTTGTGTCATGGGACAATGAATTAGCAGTTTCTGCAGTTGAAGGCTCTGCAATGATGCAGGGTTCTAGGCCTAGTTTCTCGTGTTCTTTGCCTTCGACATGGGTGAAATCATGGGAGAGATTTAAGGAGTTCAATGCTATTCCTTATATTTCACCTTACATTAATCCTAAAGATTTTGTAGAGGGGTCAAATGAGATGGAGAAGAGAACAGTTGGCTTGGTCCATGAATTGTTGTCATTGACACTATGGAAAAAATTGTCAATTGTGAAGCTAGGCCATTTTAAAAGAGAGTTTTGTTTACCAGAGAAATTGAATGCTTTGCTGCTCAGGCACCCTGGCATATTCTATGTTTCAAATAAATATCAAATTTATACTGTTCTCCTTCGAGAGGATTACAGTGGGTCAGAATTAATTAATAAGGATCCTCTAGTGGCTGTGAAGGACAAATTTGGGGAGTTAATGCAGGAGGGTCTTTATGAATACAACCGAAGGCGATACTTGGTGAATATAGAAAAGAAGAAAAAGAAGAAAGGTGTGGATTTCATGAGGTTGGAGAAAAAAAGGAAAAATGTAAATTCTGAAAATTCAGACCAAGATAATACTGGGGATAAACTAGGTGGTTTGTTTGATTCAGAAGAAAGGAAAAGGTTTTATAAGGTTCTTTTTGATGATGATTCCCGGTGAGATTGAGCTCAGGTAACTCTCCTGTTTTCAGTCTCTTTACCATTACAGTTATTTACCTTCAGTATAGAGATTGTTTTTTTAAATAAGAAGTATAAAGAATTATATTGCTATAGATACCAAGAAGGTGTTAACTCATGTACAAAAGTATTTACAAATCAATTAACTTATCAATAAGGTTTCCTAAATCCTTCATTGACAGTGGGGAATGACCCATTAATGAAAACCAAGGCTGGAACCATATGTTCTTGAGGACATTGAATCCATTCTCATCATCCTCCTATCAAAAACCCTCTTGTTTCTCTCCTTTCAAACGGTCCAAAAAAAAAATTAAGTGGAATTATGTCTGCGTATGTACTTCTACTCCCGATGCCCTTCCACGCCTCCATCTCTTCCCTCACTGAACCTGTCATCACCCAACTGATACCTAGCAACCCATAAACCATTTCCATAATTTTTACACCATCAAATACCACAGCAAAATGCTTCTGTTAAGCACAATGTCAGTGGCAAAATATTGGATAAAAGAAAAGGACTGACATATTAGGTGCATCATCTTATTATCTACCCTAGGTATGTAAGTGAATTAATCTCAGATATGGGATGTCTTCTTTGAATTTTTCATTTCCCAAATCATCTGCCTACCATTCTTTTCTTATCTACAGGGAATATTTTTGTGCATTAACATCTAAATCTCTGCATATCCCTTTGCGTGTGTATACTGCTAATTGATTTTCAAAAAAAGTGCTTCAGGGACTGAAACAGTGTAAGAGGATAATTGAAATAGTTGAAAAAAAATGGAAACTAATGCACTATGGCGGTTGGTTCTTCCTTTCTTTCTTTCTTAGGTTGTTCTCAACTTGGTAGTTCCAGCATGGAAGAAAAGTTGTTTAATATGATGAGAATATGGTGTCTACGCGATAAAGACACTGTTTTATATATAGTGTATATGACAATTTAAGGTTAATTTATCGAATCCTGTTATTAATAAAAGAATAAAAAGCACAATTCGTCTTTGGTTCCTGGATAAGTTTATGCTGTATCTATTGTTGTTTCAGACCCAAACCATTTCAATATAAATATGTAGTTGAAGTTTCTTCTTGAATTGCACAATGGGTGTTTATAACTTAGGGAAGTTAACAAATGATGACCTCGCGTCATAAAATTTTTGTTGCTTTTGAAGTTTCCAGGTTTGTCTTTTAATTGGAAACTTGCTTCTTTCTCTTGGTGGCATGCTTCTTTATTTTAACCAGAAGAATATCTTTCGCTAGGTTTGTTTTGTTGTCGTTGTTCTTGCCTGGACTTCATTGCCTTCAAAGTTCAAGGGTATTCCAAGGAGGAGATCCATTCGCTATATGTTTTATTTTGACAATTGGATTCTAACAGTTAACATTTGGAATGAGTCAGTTTAATCCTATTCTATTTATACTGAATTCTTAGTTCTAATTCTTATATCAGTCTTACTACATAATTGTTGTGTTTGGGGTATCATTACCTCTACCTTGAATCTTTTGATGGTGGGAATTCGTTTAATTCTTTAACATGAATTTCTTCAAGGTGAGGATGATGGGTCCGTGATTAAATTGTAACTACTTATAATAACATGAGAATTAAAATTAAGAATTGATTAGGATATGAATCACATTGAAAATGATCGGAAGGTAAAAAATAATCACCATATTCATAATTTTTTAATAAAAATTTATTTATCCAATTTTAATATTTATAATTAAGGTAGTGTAAGTAATAGAATATAAATATTTATAATAAATTTTATATTTTTTTTAATAGTTTAATTTCTTAAAAATAATCTTACTTCTTTTTCTATTTAAAGAAAAAACATAGAGTCAGGGCAACATACTAATTTTCCAACTGGACTGGTTAGTAACGCGGGCGTGGGCCACATCGTTGACATCAACTCCCCAGTCTAGCCCACACTTGGCTCTTTAAATTTCTGAGTCTAACACATTACTGACCAAAAAGAAAGCTCTCCAATTAGCGATTCCCGATTCCCGATCGTCGCTCTCCGAAGCAAGGTACGGTTTATAGACTCCACATGTTATATTCCTTCTTCCCATCCCAAAGCTTAACTTTCAGTATTTGATGTATCTCCACGTTCAGGTTCCGTAGGGCAGCAACTTGATTTCACTTCTTGGTTTTTTACCATTGTTCGTAGTTTTGATCCTTGTCTTGTGCAATTCATGTCGCTCTCATATAATCCTCGATTATACTCTTTTCCGCTGCCAAATTTTTGAAATGAAGGATATATTTTCCGAAACAGGGTTCAAACATCTTGTTTGATTAAGAAGCATAATCGGTGAAGATCTGAAACCTTTTCACTCGAAATGGGACTAATATCTCAAACCTGATTGTTACAGGATAGTTATAGAACGAAGAACTTAAGTTGATGGATGGTTTAGAAATTATTCGATGGAATAAAATTATCAGTAAATGTTTTATGTTGATATGATTTTGCTTGTTCTGAACCATTATTTGTATTTATTCTACCGGGGAACATGATAATTAAATTATTAATGCTCAACTACTGGTATGTTAAATTGGTGTTCTTTTTCTATGCTATGCCTGATGAAATATGATGCATTCCGTGCAGGAAAAAGCAGGCACGTTTCCTTTGGTAATCCTCGATCCCAATGTGCGTATGGATTTCGGCTTATCAAGTTTCTTTTCTTTGTTTTCTCTGTTGCTAAATGTATTATAGCTTTTGAACTTTCAGGGCACATGAGGAACTGGTTGATCAAAAGAAGTATCTTGAGGAGTCTTGCAAAAACAAGTGTGTGAAGCCTTTAATTCAGTATGAGGTAGAGCTTTTTGGCTCTTGATATTTTTTTGTACTAGTAACATGTATGTGTTTGGGTTATTTCTACCGATGCCTCTTTCTTTGTTTTCTGGTGAAGGATGATAACTTTTCCATTTAACCTTGATGCAATTATTTAGTTGTTTCTCTACAAAAAATAATTAAGATGAATGTTGAAAATTGACAATGAAGAAGTTAGGATGTTAAGATTCTTTAGCCGCCAAATCTTCCTGCACTTTTTCTTTTCTCTGTATTACTTTTTTCCATCTAAATCTGCTCCATAAAAATCAGAATTGGAATGTTCCATTGTAATTTGGTCGGTCAATATTGATCACTTAGACAGTGATCAAGTCTTGAAACCTAAGGTCTGGGAACTCTTACATCAACAAGTGGCTCTGATTGTTGGAGTGCTTTGCTTTATATGGCATGCATGATGAATTCTATGCTACTAAATTTCTGAATTTTCTTAGTAGTTGTTTAGGATTTCCTTTTTCTTCTTTCTTTCTGGTCACAAGCTTTGTTCTTCTTTTACTTTTTGGTTTAACTGAAAGTTTTGCTCTGTTATGAAAGGTAATGCACCTAATATGTTCCCTTTAAGAAAAAGAATACACATAATATAATCCTTCACAATCTATATATGTTATTAATGCTATATATATATATATATATATATATATTCTTCCCTACGTATAGAGCACGTTATTTTTTGAACTCCAGACCTAGGAATTGTACCCAGTCATAAAGCTTCATATTGGAGCACTGTTCTACTGAATCCAAAAGCCGGGTACCCAAAATGATAAACCACAAAACACTGCCTACAAGGAGGGTGGATTACAATATTGCTCAAGACCTGAAAATTTGTGAAATGGGAATGTAAAATCTGGAAAAGGCTCAATATGTTGGTTGAATATGTAGAAATTGATATTTTTTTCCAAGTGCAACTTTAAGACATTGAGAGAAGTATCTTCCACATGCCTTTTGTTCTGTTGAGTTTTTAGTATTATAGGATTAGCCAAATTGTTCTTTGTACTCTTAGCGGTGTCTATTATCCTGTAATTTTCACCATTCGTCTTTTTTTTCGGGGGGGGGGTGGGGGGGGGGGGTTTAATTGGCTTCTTAAGGTATGAGCATCTATGTGAGTTGTTAAAATTGTTATCCATGCACTTTGATTGTCAGTGGAGAAACTTGTGGGAACTGTCTCTGAGATGCTCTTTTCCTTCTTGTTTTTTCATTTTTTTTTAATGGAAAAGCTTCTGTTCACTGTTTTGCCTAAATTTTTGAAATATTTGGGTTATCCCCAGCGAAGCTTCATTTTTTCATGGCTTTGGATCGTTACTTGTATTCTGCATTATCTATCTGCAACTTCCCAAGAGGAACTTGGAAGATGATTGTAACATGCTGAGATCCTTGGAGTTTTTTTTTGCTATATATTTGTTTAATGTCATCTGGCTAATGGGTTTAATTGAATCCAATTTAAAGAAGAACAAGCTTGGAAAATGTTCTTGGAAATAGCCTTTTCAAAAAGGATCAGTCTTCATCTTCTCATCCTTTAGGCCTGTTGGTTGATGGTTTCTGTGATGGCAACTTAAATTTTTTTTATTAGTCATTACAAGGCTGTGTACATTAAAAAATGCCAAAGTTGGATTAATAATGTTAACTGGAAACGGTTTATAGATGCTTATGCCTGGATCAACAAGTATGCCATGTTGCATGGAATAGATATGCATTAGAAGCGGTATTTGTTGATTGACAGTTTGATTGTGTTCTCTTACTACAGGTTTGTGTTAAGAGGATTGAAGGTGATGATGGTGGCAAGCATTGTACGGGGCAATACTTTGATTACTTCTCTTGTGTTGATAAATGCGTAAGCATGGTTCTCATCTTATTTCCCGTTAATCTTGATTGTTGATTTGGCTTGTTAGCTGAACTTGGCTTCTTCCAATACAGGTTGCTCCAAAATTGTTTGCAAAACTGAAGTAACTCTGGAGAGTTGCTAATGTAACTTTCTTGTTTAGGTTCCTCTCTTCAGTATCAGCATAAGGCCAAGTGATCCTTAGGCCAGTTTTGCAATCAGAACCATTCGATATTGTTCTCACGTGCCGCCTTATTTGGATACAGTTCATAAAGAATACACTTGTCTTCAACTCTTTTCCCAATTTCCAGATTTGGCTACTTCAAACTAGTGACTTTTGTTTCATCTCGCTTTTTCCTTCCTTCCCCCCTAAAACGTTACCGTTTTTGTTTGGCCATTATCCATTGTCAAACTTCATGAAATTCGCTGCCCAATCTGCGAGAAATATTATATTATAAGCTCGATTCATGCCGAACCAGTAATTTACAATATGAATGGGGATTGGTACACTTAAGGATAGTGAAGGAAAACGTAATTTATCTCCATTTTTTGTTATTATAATGTCTATAACAAATAAGAAGTAAATCCTGAATTTTTTATAAATATTTGTGATTTTTTAGTTTCTTGACAAGAAATATAAAAGTTCAAGGCTAAATTAATTAAAACTAAAATAAATTTTTAAAATTTTAAAAATAATATGTAATGGTAAAAAACTAAAACACAATGAATTTTTTCATAAAAAATATAAGATTAAATTGTAATTAAACATTGAGAAAGCAACTATGACTTCCTTAATTTTTAAAATTTGAAAGCTAATATTGAACTGAAAAAGAGCTTCTTAGATTATATTTATCATAATTCACAAAATTATATGCTTTTTTATTATTAAAAATAACAATAATATTTGTTGTTTTATTATATGCGCTGTTAAGACTGGACAGTTAAAAAGGATCAGGAATTTGGGCTTTAATGGAACCCAAACCCCTCTAGTTATAGCCGATCCCCCGACCCGAAAACAAATCATAATACCTTCCCCCAAAAAAACTAAAACGTACTTGTAATTTATTTTCTTATATTTGTACAATGTAATATAAGCACAGAAGAGAAGCTGAGTAACCCTAGAAGAAGAATCAATCGCACATCACTTTTGCCATAATAGCTGTCTCTCCAATTCCTGTACAGAAGAAAAAATAAAGTGAATTCTTCTTCTCCTGATACGTATTTACCTGACACTATTATAACCATCATCGCCTTGTGTAAGCTCTCTCTTTCTCCCTCTGTGTTCATTTTCACTCAAAGCACAACTTAATTTTATTCTCTGCGTATATCTGTCTATACAGGGTTGTGTAGACGGATGTATTGCAAGTTAGGGTTTATACGTACTGATTAGATTTGTGTTCGGTAGACGTAATATTGTTCTGACAAATTAATTTGATAAATTTTCTATATTAGATCTTTATTTTACGAGATTTTTCCATGTGTATACGCCGCTTATTTGTTGATTATTGATTTCCGAGCAGTGGATAGTTGGTTGAAGGTAATCGGAATCATTCAAATTAGTCGAATTAAACCCTAAATTGTCGATGGGTAGAAAGAAGCCGAGTGCGCGTGGTGGCGACGAGGATAACCCACCTGCGGCATCGCAGGGCGGCGCGAAATCCAAAAAGAAGGCGCTTGTCATTGATGATGACGAGTATTCTATAGGTACCGAGTTATCGGAGGAATCAAAAATTGAGGAAGAGAAGGTTGCCGTAGCAGGGAAGAAGAAAGGTAAGAAAGGTTCAAGTCGAAAAGAAGATGAAGACATAGAGAAGGCTGTGGAGGAAGAGGAGGATGTTCCGGAGATTGTCTTGACAGGGAAGAAGTCCAGATCAAAAAAGAGTGGGGGTGGTAGTGTGTTCAGTGCATCAAGTTTTGGATTGCTTGATGAGGATGGGAAGGATGATGGTGGTGATGATGGGGATGATCAATCTGGGTTAACAGGTGGGGAAAACAGTGAGGAAGATGAAGAACAGGTGGTTAGCTTTTTGGGTAAAAAGAAGGCGTCAAAGAAGGGTAAGAAGGTTA